GCACAGCCAAGGTCACTGCTCAGAGCTGACATTCTAGCTGTGGCTGGGCAGGGGATGGGGACGACATTATAAAAAGTTATTTATTTCATGGGTTTTATTGACTATCTAATATGTGTCAGGCAGGGTTTTAGATACTAAGAATATAAAGATAAATGAGACACAGTCCCTGTCCCTAAGGGCATTTCAGCCCAAGGGAAGAGCCTGTGGAAGGCAGAGAGCAAATGAAGGGGTTGTGTTTGGGGAAAATCCAGTTGTTAGGTAGAGCTGGGAGCACAGGATGTGGTGATAAATGGGCTTTGTCTTAGTTATGAAACTCATCCCTGGGAAACCTGAGGCAGAGTCCTTCCTGGAAACTTCATGTAAATCCCCCTTAAATATTTATTGAAGCAGACATTTAAGAACAAGCTCTAGGTACTGAGTATACATGAAATAGTCTCATCCAGCCTAAGGTGTGGCTCTACTTGCCTGAAATACAGGCCAAGAATAAGAGTTTCTGACACTCCCAATTCCCCTCCCTCCCTCCCTCCTTTTTTTCCTTCCTTTCTTCCTTCCTTCCTTCTTTCCTTCCTTCTCTTTCTTTCTTTTTTTTCTTCCCTCCTCTCTTCTTCCTTCCTTCCTTTCTTTTCTTCTTACCTAACCCATTCCCTGAAACTGTTGGTTCTGGAAGTATCAAAGTGAACCTACAATTAGAATCTGCCCTTTGAGGTGTGGTAAGAAACTAATTGGTTAATGTTTGCAAAATGCCAGAACATTCTTGAATAAAAGACCTTATATAAGTTCAAAGTATTTGTAATTATTATGATCATTACTATAATTTGTAAGACTTAGCCATAAATCTTTTCATAATAGGATGAAGTCAACACTTTTAAAAAGAAGAAGCAGGACAAGGACTGTATATAAGTGTTGGTGGCCTACCTGCCTCTGAGGACAAGAGCTAAGGGAAGACAGGTGAGTGTAAACAGAGCTGTGGAATTGATGCTCAGGCTTATCTAGGGTGAAAAATCCAGTCTATGGTGATTGATTGATAATGACTGTGTCTTTGCTGTCCAGGAAACAAGAGAAGTGGAAATTAGATAAAACTAAAGGAACTCGCAAGGAAAACCCAAGTTATAAAAGATTACGTACATGCTAGAATAATTTTTTCCTCTTCATTACAATACTTAGACAAATTTAAATTTATTTTTAAGAAGTATATACTTTTGGATTTGTGAACATCTGCAAAGCAAAGAATGGCAGAACAGAAATATGTGTACATTTAACAGGAGCTGTACAGGCCAAATGGATGTCTTTTTTGTTAATTCAAAGCCAAAGAATGGAGGTGTTTGTATTTTTCCGGGTGGTAATCTGTCCTCTTCCCTCATGCTCACTCCAGCCAAGGTTACATTAACCCCATAAACCTTAAGTGGTGGTTTGATAACAAGAGTCCTGTGTTGTCTGGAAGCTGTGAAAGAACTAAGGCTAACAAGTCTAACAACCTAAGCTTAACAGAGTAAAAGGATAAAGAGCTTCAGCAGTTCTGGATGGGATAGAGAAGTCATGGTCTCTGTGATCATATCTTTGTTCAAAATGGGATATTCCTGGGACAGCGCTCTGCACCAGGAGAGAAGTCTTCCTGGTGTTCTCAACTCTGGGAGTTCCAAACGGGCAAAGTTGAGAAAGGCAGGTCCAGGGGCCTCCCAGAAAGAAGGCTCTCCCTTCCAGGCCTGTCTGGATGAAGAAAGGGTTTGCCTGCAGAGTGTGTAAGACAAGTGATCAAATCTCTGAGCTCACCTGGGCTGATAATCATTGCCCACAATCCAAATTCAGTAAATATATATTTTCACAGACTGTGTGAAAGTGCAACTCTGCAAAAAGTGAGTTTAAAAGGAGCCTATATTTTTCTCTAAAAAGTTAAATTTTTCTCAAGGGTATGTGATCCTAGTGGCAGAAATATTTTATATTTGTGACTGTCATCGCTATTATTTTAATTTAAGGCCCGTTGGTGCATAGCCCTCTGTGAGGCCATGGGCTGGCGCATTGTGTGTGTGTGAGGAGGGAAGGGAAGGACATTGAGAGCGTATAAGACTAAGATATGATGGAAAGGCCTATCAGCCCACAAGCAAAGCAAGCAACAAGACAAGGTAGCAAAAAAACTAGGGTGGCAAATACAACACAGAACAAAAGACCATGCCTAATGTGATGTGTACAGCAGTTCTCAGTTCTTTCAGTATCAGACGGGGGCCACAATGGGACATAGCCACCTTCATCTCCCAGCATCACAGGATGTTAACACAATACACATTCCAGGCTGGTTGGAGGATGCTAAGGACCAAGGTGGCTGTGGATCAAGGTTTATGGCAAAGATCTGGGAGAGTATTCATGGGGGAAAAAAATAAGGGTCTTTTGGTGAAGGAACTACAAAAATTAGACTTTTATTTCCACTTTTTCCAAGAACAATTACTTAAGGGTAGAAGAAATAGTCTATTACGTCTTAGAAATCTAAATGATTCTATGGAAATTGCAAAGTACAGGAAGAGAGAGGTGAACTTGAATTGTGTCTGTAGGAGACCCAAGTTGCCAGGGTGCCCAGCAGGCCTGCTTCCAGCTTGTTGACACTGGCATGCTGTTTATCACTCTCTTGCTCTCCAGGAAGGGAGAGGGTAAGTGCCACCATAGACATTGTGCCGGGTGGACATCATGAGCCCTGCACTGTCTTGGCCAGACATAGTAATAAGTGCTGGGAACCACTGGGGGTGTTAATGGATTAGTTGTAGATAACTGATGGACTCTCCCTGAACACACTCCAGCAATGCTCTGGCAACCTCTTCTACCACAGAATACTCCTGAGCACCTGTAGAGTTGTGTCATGGAGCTTGGCTTGTATCAGCATGTGGTGATTATGCCCATTGTTGCTTCTTTCTCTTTCCTGGTGTAATCAGAAAACATGAAAGAAAGGAACTCTGTGTTTCAAAGTAATTGTGTATTTAACGAAACTCTTTTCATTCAAGTGCTTGCTCCACAGGTACTTACTTATGCTTAGAGAATGAGGTAGCTTTCATGTCCCATTCTTCCACTTGGGTTTCCAAGAGGAAGTTTTTTGTTCCCACGGAAAAGCAGTCCTGGGTGTAGCATGTGGATACAAGTAGTCCTTTTTTCTGCACAGTCCTCTCCATAAAGCTAGGCAGAAGCCTCTTAAAGATGAGATTTCCCTGAGCTTTTCCTTGCTTAAGTGGTTCCTTCTCCATTCGCTTTCCTGGGACTGAGTGTCTTTCCACCTTCAGTGCTCAGACATCAGTGGGTGCTAAATAAATGATTCCAGCTGGATGATTGAATCTGCGAGTTCCTGCAGAACCAGCTAAAATTTCAAGTTCCTGTATGTTTTTAGTGTTGAGACTCGGCATGACATTTTCTGCTCAACTGAGGGAAATCAGTTTGGCTATCTCATTGTGCTAGGGAAAAAAAACAAAATTGCCATGTCTGAGAGGTGCACGCCTGCTTGGTGTAAGAACACTTCACTCAAATGTCTTCCTTAGTACCTCTTCTTCATCTTTTTTGTTTTTGTTTTTAATTTAAATTTTTTTCAATTATAGTTAACATTCAATAGCATATTATAGCAGTTAGACTTCTGAAGTGATCTCCCAATAAGTCTAGTACTCACCTTAAAAACTTTTCTTTGTCTTGAGATGTAACCTATTTCTGGGTGTTTGGAAGGAACCACCCATAAGAACAATCTTGAAACAAAAGAGATGAGAAGAGCATTATGAAAGTGATGAATGTCATATTTAAATGCACACTCCTGCCTATAATGATAGTAATAATTCAAAATGATAGGTAGCCAGGCTCAGCCAACTAGGGGAGTGATGGAAACACCCTGCAGTTGATGGAGCTGCTGGGAGGTAGAGGACTGGGGGCATATGGTCTGTCCCTCCAGCATTCCCTGGGGTCAACTGCAAACTAAGCTGGGTGGCATCTGTATATTTGTTTGCTAGCTAGTGGGGGAGCCAGGGCTCTTTGGACTTCTGGAAGGTGATTAGAGGAATGGTTGTGAAGAAAGAGAGTGCATGAGAGCAAGTGTGAGAGCAAGTGCTTGATGATGACCAGTGTCAGTTTTCCCCTAGAGTAAGCACCTTATGAGTTCAGTCCTGGACCCCTGCCCATGACCTGCTTTCATGGGGATTTGACTTTGCTTGTGGAAGTAGCCTGCCTCTCCATTCCCCCACCATGGGCTCTGGTCCAGATTTTTTCCTGCCTTGGAGTTTGACAGAGGGGAAATGGAGAATATGGCTCAAGGTGGCCAAGGGGATCTGAGCTCTCAGGTTAGGGGCTTAGAGCAGTAGTCAGTGTCTTCCAGCTCCTTCCAACAACCAAGGCAAAGAATATATTCCAAGACACTTAGGAAAACATAACCTTTCCTGTAACGTGAAGGAAGAACCCAATTGAGAGAAATACAAACACAGTTTTCTCCTTGTCGTATTATCTTTTGACAATAAAGAAGCTATTGGGATAGAAACTTGCTTTTCAGGATCTGGAGTCATGTTTCTCAGTGTTGAGAGCCAAAGTATCTTGGCTTCTTTTTTTAAAAAAATTTTATTTATTGATGAGAGAGAGAGAAGAACATCGATTTGTTGTTTCACTTATTTATGCTTTCATTGGTTGACCCCTGTAAGTACCCTGACTGGGAATCAAACCTATAAACTTGGCATATTGGGACAACAGAACTCTAAACAACCAAGCTACTGGGCTAGGGCCATCTTGGCTTCTTGAAACAATTATAGTCTATGTAGGCCAAGCAGGAGTCTTGTCCTTTTAAGCTAATCAAAAAGATAGATGGAGCACACATCTGGCTTTTGCTTTTTTTCATTATGATTCAAATCATTTATTTTCTTAGTTCAGACATGGGGAAAGTTGTTCTCTTTTTTTTCATACCTTTCCATAGAGCCATTACATATTGTTATGATGATGATTGATATTTTCACAACTTTGAGCTAATTTGTATTTTAAAATCACCTTAGGACCCGGAGAGTCAGATCATCAGTATGTCTGTCCTGTGGCTGCTTCTGGGCCTCCTTGCCCTTACTGGTGAGTGTGTTTCATCTTTCCCAAATGACTTTGGAGTTGGGAAAGATAAGCATAAAATCATAACAATGCTTCTGATACGTGAAAATGCAGTGAAAAATGTTATTTTTTTCCCTAAGCTGTTTGTCAAATCCTAGAGTTAGTAACAGCGCTGATAAGTAGCCTCTTTCTGAGTGTCCCACAGAAGGAGGGTCTTCTTCCAAATGCCGGGTGAGGTTAAACAGCATTGCTTGATAACTGCTCATTGTGTCTCTATAAAAACTCTTTCACTGAAAGTATTTGTTGAATTTATTAATAGAGCATATATTTCCATAGAAGGATGGAAGAGGCTTACCGTAATAAGACTGATATAGTTCAGTATAAAACTAACGTTGAGGGGATCAAGGATCTGTGACTAAGCTAACCACTGAGGCTGACATCGTTGCAGATTTGGTCTTGTTTCCTTGTAGCTGGGGCAAAAAAAGAAAATAGCATGTCTTTAGATAAATAAAGGGAGGCATCGCAGTTCCTCAAGAGAAGCAAAAAAAATTTATCCTGGCTCTAAATTCTAAAAACTTCTCAGGTAAGTGTTAGTCTTACATTCATTCATTTATTTGTTGACCCACTCACTCAACAAATATTTTTAAATTCCTATAAGGAATTTTCAGAATATAAGGAATTTTGAGGAATATGTAATGTGGTTTAGGAGTGGCTAAAAGGCACGGAGCAATGAATGGCACCACCAGTTACTATTAAGGGTATTTGTCACCAATTATAAAAATAGAGTGTCCCAGTTAAAAAATAAAAAAGGACATGTTGGCTCATTTAGTTTTTAGTATACTCATAAAAGACAAAGTCATTTCATTTTCTTATTTCTCTTTGATTACTCATCAAAAATTTTTAAAGTAGAAATCTGTACTCCAAAATACTTGTATTTTCAGATGTCAACTCCGTGATGTTCTTCATAAGAGAACTTTAAAATACATTTAGTAAACATATGAGGATAAGCAATAGACACATTTCCAAAGACCTGCAGATCATTAAGATTTAATGATATAATATACTTCTGTCAAAGAATAAAACAGGTCAAAAAGAGTAATCTAATGAGAAGTCCTGACAAGCTTATAATAGTGAGATGATGCTCTCAAGGGGCAATTTCCTGCCACCTGTAGCTATCTTGTTACTGATGTGTATGCCCTCTTTCTGGTGTGAATGATAAACACAGAGGACTGTCCTTCTCTTTAGTGGTCTTTGTGGAATCCCAACAGTGTATAAAACCTCTCCTCCCCCTCAGCACTGGAAATGACAGTGGTAGTTAGAGAGAGAGAAAATGAAGAGCAAAGGGAAAGAAATTGAAGAGCAAAGAGAGAAAGGGAAGAAGTGGAAAGAGGGACCCCCACTGGGAAACCTGGCCCTGTACCTCACCATATGCCCTCCCCATCTCTGCCATCCTAAACACCCAAGCAGACGTGCACCGAGAGCAGGGGAAGCCAGCTCCAAGTCACAGTTTACCAGCAGTCCCTGTTCTTTGGGTCTGGGCTGAGATCCCAGGGAGACCCAGGCTTTATATGTGTTTCCCCAGAACAAATGTAAGTATCTCACCAGACCAATGAGTTATGGGTATTGGAGGGAGAAGTGCTGAGAGTTCACATAAAATGGAAACGAGAACTAGCTTACAGGAAACACACAATCTCTGGTTTGACTCTGGCACGCCCACTCAACAGCATTGGACAGCCCCAGTACTTTGCAAGGAGTAAAACTGCTCCAACAGTTCCTCAAGTCTGCGAGATATGAGGTGAGAATTTAGTATTGAGGAAGTTCTATGATAATTTCTTAGTTGCTATACTGTAAATTTCAAAAGGGTTTCCATTGCAGAGTAAAACTCTTGTTGTCATTGATTTCAGTGTAGTTATGTTTATTCATGTCATCTCATTCATGGACAGAAGGATGATCAGAACTACTCTAGTTTAATGTCTTATGTTGAACTTTTCTCAATTTGTAGATTCATCTGAAAGTGGCAACTGGGGATGCTATGGAAACATCCGAACCTTCGATACTCCCGGGGCATCTTGCGGGATTGGAAGACGTCGAGGCCTGAACTACTGTGGTAGCTAGAATATCATTGTCCACCTTGCCCTCCTCCTCCTCTTCCTTTATCTCAGAAGGTGACTCTGTTAGGAAGGGTGGCTTCAACAGGATTTTGTCCCTGTCCTTGATACCCCTCACCTATGTCTCCCAGTCATTTCCCACAGGTTTTGATCCTCAACATACCCTTTTGGTTCCCTCTGTTTCCCTCAGTCCCACACTATGAAGTGGTGGAAAGAGGCACTGGACATGGAGTCCAAACACCTTGAGTGCTGGCTCTGCTTCTTCGAGTCTTAGCTTCCTTGAACTCTGCTGAGATGGGGATAATAGTACTTACTTTACAGTGTTGTTGCAAACTCTGGTCAGTAATGTGCATGAGAGTGCTTTTTTTTTTATTGTTCAAATACATTTGTCTTCATTTCCCCACCACCACTTTCCCCTGCCCCATGACAGTGCTTTTGAAACCATAAAAGTGCTTAGAAGGTAAAGTGGGTAAGCCAGGTATGTTAGGATTGGTTTTCACTTTGGCCAGCATTCTTGGTGTTTTATAAAGGTTTAAGCACACCTGATTTGTAGGTGTCACTGTAGGGTGGAAAGTGGGCAAGAGTGAGCACACCTGTCAATAAGCCCTCCAAGGACTTCCGGAAGGGTTTGGGAGAATTTCTCCTTCATATCAGGTGCTTGTTGTAGCTGCTGAATGTGAATTTTACTGGGTAACTGTTTTCGTGATTAGGATGGGGCCAGTGGGGCCTGTGCCCATGCAATTTTCCTGTGAGGGCATGAGCTCCTTGGATCAGGGGCACTAGTAGCCATGAAGGACATGTTTCAGGGGATGCCAACCCGAGTTCCAAGGAGAAGAATCACAATCTCAGTTCTAGGAATGGCTACAAGAGGTTTCAGACACAAGCATTGGCTTCTTAGTCTTCAACCGCTGGCCAGGGCCTTGGAGTGTATTTTCCCTCTCCTTTTGAGCTCCCATTTCAGTGTAGGTCACACCAAGCCGTATCCTTCCATCTCTGTTTGCTTTAGGAGTTCGTGCTTCTGAAAGGCTGGCTGAAATAGATATGCCATACCTACTGAGATTCCAACCCATCATGCGTACTGTTGGCCAAAAGTACTGTGTGGATCCTGCAGTGATCGCTGGTGTCGTGTCCAGGGAGTCTCCTGCTGGCAACATTCTTGTCAATGCGGGCAATGTAGGCGATGGAATCAGGGTGGTACAGGTAACCCTCCATGTGGCCACTGGGTTGTGGGTGTCGCACAACTCCAAAAGGACACTGTCACATTTGTTGTGTGGATGGTGCCCCTGGGACACAGCCCCTTAGGAGAGTGAGTGGGCTCCCTGGAGCTGTGAGAGCACAGTTCTGCCTGCAAGAGATCGGCAGCACCGTTTCTGCTTCATTTTGAGGCATAATTCCTTTTCAAAGTAAATTATGCTGTGTTTCCAGGGTATCATCATTGCTACCCTACTGTGGATTTCCAAAAAGGCCATGAAGGAGAAATAGCACACATTGAATCCTTGCTCTGTTATTTTGTAACCACATGACCTTGAAAAAATCATTTAATCTCCCTGGGCCTCAGTTTTCTCACCTATAAAACGCCATCCTTAGAATTGTTATGAAGATTCAATAAAATAACGTGAGAATGTACTTGCTATCTGGTAGATTCACAACAAATATCATATTTCCTTTTCCTGTCTTCTTTCTACATAGTTCTTAGTTCTGAAGGTCATGTTTTATTTCTCAGGAATTCTGCCTAGTTTCACCTGAGACTTCCAGGGAACTGGTCATTAATTAACCCACAGTTAAAGTAACTCTGTGCTGGGAGAATGAGTGGCGGCAGGGGAGAACATGAGGCCATGGTTTCCTATTACATTTCACATTGTAGTTGTTGAGAAACCTGTAAGTATTGCAGTCCTTTTTTAAGCCTTTAGGAAAATGTATTCCTCAATGATTTTTAGATTGGCTTCCCTTAGCACTTTACAATTTAAAAGTACTTTTAAATATTTTATTTTGATTTGGGGACCCATAATAATGTAATGAACTGAGATAGATGAGAGAGTGAATTTATGAGGAGATTGTCATTACTGCAAAGTCACATGGCAGCTAGAAAATGCAGAATGGGACCAAGGACAACTTTGGTGATTTGGTGCCAGCATCATTTCCGTCTCCCTGTTCTGCCTCTTTTGTAAAATCTTGTTCTTGGGAAAAGGATGGGCCCGTCTCCTTTGAAGATGAAGAAAGAATTCCCCAGCGTCAGATATTCCTTTTAAATACAGTGAAACGTATATGGAATGGTAACCAAAGGTGTGGAAGAAAAGTTAGTGGTACCCTTAGACATTCTGATTATCTAGAAGGATAATTACAAGAACAGTTAGGAAAAAAATGCCATTCGGACTTGTTATGGAAGGTTTTGGTTGCAGCATTGAAGGAGGGCATCAGAATGGGACCTACACTACCTCTCAACCTTGGCTTCCAACTCTGCCTCTCACCCTTGCATTGTAGCAGCAGTGAAATGTCTGCTCCTTCCTCCCTTTGACCAAACCTTTTAGCTTTACTATTTGTCCTCAGAGAGACTAAAGCTGGCATTCGTTTCACCAAAGGAGGAGGAGAGAAAGAGAAGGGAAATGAGAAAACGCTGATAGTGTGAAGTCACATCACCCTCTCACCTGGCTTACTTGGCTTGTCCCCTGCCTCCCTCCTTCTAGGACATGGGCCATTATGCTCCCACACCCTGGATCAGTGAGCCCCAGCTATCCCAGATGACTGAGGTCCTGACTGTTAGAATCAAAGAAATCCAGAGGAGGTTCCCAACCTGGACCCCCGACCAGTACCTGAGAGGTAGGTGTAACTGCCTGGTGGTTTTACTGCATGGAATAATAGAGAAATGTAATACATTGTGCCAGAGTCCCCAAAACCTCAGTTGCTTATGGTAAGCACAAGGAAAAAGAATCTAAGTTAATTGCTGAGCATCCTGAAGCAATGGAGGGGCTATAGGGTCAGCATTAACCTGTCTCACAAATTCCAGGTGGACTCTGTGCCTACATCGGAGGTCCTGGCTATGTCAGAAGCAGCCAGGACCTGAGCTGTGACTTCTGCAATGATGTCCTTGCACGAGCCAAATACTTCAAGAGACACGGCTTCTAACATTTCAGATCAACTCCAACTAACACTTCAGATCAACTCCAACGTCATTCTCATACATGAGGCCTCTTCTGTTCCATAGATAAAACTAGCCAATGGGATTTGTAACTGAGAATCTGAGTTGGACCTGAAGGTTGTCAAAATAACATGGAACTCATTAAAGGAAGAATTATTCTCTGCATTTTGTGGTCTGATGTGTTTATGTATAAGTTAAGAGTTGTGGCTCTTTAAAGGTATTTCCATGGAGATAGGCTGTAATGTGGATTTCTGTGAAATGTATCCTATATCTCATTGACTAGCATTGCCAGATTTAGCAAATAAAGACACAGAAAGCAGTTGCATTTGAATTCCAGAAAAATAATAAAAAATTTTTTAGTGTAAGTGCTATTCAATATTTGGAACACATTTGGGCATATACTTTACTTGGCAATAATATCATTGATTTCTCTAATAAAAATAATAGTTTCAAATTTAATTGAAAAATTTGATGAGAAAAAGGGCATGATGGTGGCTAGCCCCATATGCGAGGTAGAATAGTCTCAGGAGAAGCTCTTGTTAACTTTGCAGAATTATTTTAACCCTAAGTCAGTTTCTCTGTAATCTGAGAAACTGTTTACCTCCTTTCCTTTTCTGGACCACAGAACCTGCTACACCCAACCTCTCCTAACTCAGCTAAACTGTTCCCTCATTTGGGGCACTCACTGACAGAGCCAGGCCACAGTGCTTCATCAGCTGAAGTTGCCCTCAGAGAAACTGACCATGTCTTATACTGGTAAATTATTTAATTCTAGAAGGTGTATTCTTTAAAAGTAATCAATTTCTCATTCTATCAACTGTATGATATCACTAAAGAGTGTTGTTCTGGAACAGTTATTCTTTTACGCAGAATATTTTGAAGCACTTTGTATGAGCTCAGTACCGTATCAGAGTCCCTGCCCTCAGGAACTGTTAAATCGTAAAATTTAATTAGGAATAGCAACCAACTACATGTGTGTACAAGGTAGACTTAGGTCTGTACCAGCAGACAATGTGAAGATGTTATCTTCTGTGTCAGGAGCCTGTGGAACCTGCTTGTGACTACTGAGGCCCTCGACCTTCTCCAGGGCCACTTCCTTCTTGGTCTCCCCATTTTCTGCCTTCCAAGACCCTCTCAAGGCTGAATCTGGTTGAGGAGTTCCCACCAAGGAGAAAATGAGAGAGAAGACTTCATGAACACAATTCTTTGGCACAAGGAAAATAGACTGTGAGGCACTGGTTAGGAGCCCACAGTGGAAACACTTGGGTGAATAAAGTCCTTTTGAAATCACACCCCCGGGTAGGCTCATGCAGGTCCCATTATGAACATGTACACACAGAAAGAGAGGCATTACTTGTGTCTGTGCTGCTGGTGACTATTGTCCTAAGGAAACATTGAGTCAAGGAAGCCTGACAAGGAGCACTGTGATGTGACGATGTGAGCTCTGACAAAGGCACAACTGAGTTAGAGGCTGGTAAAATATAAGGGTATTAAATAAACAGCTATTAACCAATCCTTATCAAACGCCTCCTACCTGCTAGCCACTGTATTAGGAACTGCAAGGGCATGTCCTTGCTCACCAAGGCTCCTTTTCTAGTTGGGATCTGGATAAAGTAACACTTAGGGCACAATAAGCTAATTTCTGTAAAGAAAGGATAAACGAAAGTTGGTGCAGGAACTCTGGTGAAGAACTGAGACCTGAGTTCACAGAAAAGGTAAGGGCATTTATTCAGTGCTGAATTCTCACACCAGCCCAGATGTACGATTCCACTGAACGGACAATAAACCCTACCAAGCAAACTGTTAAGACACTTAGTCACAGAGCTGGTAAGGGACTGAACCAGTCCCAATGCATTGCCCCATGTATAGAATTAGATGATTGTGTGTGTGTGTGTGTGTGTGTGTGTGTGTGTGTGTGTGGTGGGAGGTTAGGTTGACCAACTATCCTGGTTTGCTTGGAGTTGATGGTTTTCTGGGACATGGAACTCTCAAGCCTAAAACCAGGAAAGTTAAATGGGAACTTTCTGAGCAAGTCCAGATGAGTTGGTCATCTGAACTAGGCATCATCCCTTCTAGGAGATACTTTAAAACCCATGAGGACAGTTTTCTTCTCTCCCTCCCTCTCTTCCTTTTGTTACTGCTACAACGCTTGAGGTGACCGTGAAAAGTGGAGTTGGACATTACTGGTATGTTGTGGTGGGGCAAAGAATGCTAAACATTTTGCAATTTGTAGTGGGTAGGATGGCCCCATCTAGTGAAGAAAATATATATGTGAAAGGATATTCATGTGTATATATACATTTTAGCGTATTAATTAATATAATATACATCTTAAAAACCTCCTCCTGAGTTGACCTTTTGCCAGCTTTACAATCCAGAGATATATTTTTTCAAATATCAGAAAGTCACCCCTTTGAAATATAAACCTCTAGGGAGAATGTGCTCCATGTCCCTGTCACTGTGGAAGGTTAGCCTCTAGACATCTGCTTCTCATAGATACAATAAAATTTTTATTTTTCCTCTGATAAAGGTGAACTTAGGATAAACAATGAAAGAATATATGGCAGATGGTGCTGTTAGGTCTTCTCAAAGGAGGACAGGTTACTGTTCATTTTGAGAACATATGTATATAATCACTAAAAATAGAGCAGTATAAAAGAATTGTCCCTTCTTGGCCATATAAATAGGGTAGACTTTCTTTCTGTCTTTATAACCTCTTTGCAGGTGATCAGCTATGTCCCTGGTACTCTGTCTTATGCTTATTCAATAAAAAACTGCTCTTTTTCTTTTTTAAACAAATATTTTATTTATTTATTTTTATAGAGAGAAGGGAGGAAGATAGGGAGAGAAACATCAATGCGACAGAAAAACATCTGTCTGTCCCCACTGAGCCTGTAACCCAGGCATGTACAATAATCAGGAATTGAATTGGTGAACTTTTGTGGGACAATGCCCAACCAACTGAGCTACACCAGTCAGGGCAAAACTGCTTTCTTTTGAATGTTTTGTGGAGGTTTTTAATTCCTTATAATATGAAAAATTAAAAATATTTGGTTAAAGGTCGCTAACTTTTGGCTGACAGCTGCTATGTAGGGAATTGGTGACCAATCTTAATCACATCAAAGGCATACTTTTTCTTTTTAAAGTACCACTTTTTTTTTTATCAAGATGCCAGAGATTTCTTTGTAGAGACTGTGAAATACGTCACACAAAATGTCCCACAGTGGGGTTTTAGAGGGAGCAAAATTATACGCATGTGTTCAATCCACCATCTTTACTTGGAATCCTGGCTCTTGACTACCATGCAATGACATCTTAGGTAAAATCTGAAGAATGAACAGGAGTTTGCCAGGAAACAATAAAGACAAGAATATTAGACAGGGAAAATGTAAGTAAAGGCATGGTAGCTTGAAACGGTGAGCGCTTGCCGAAGGAAGCAGGTAAAAGTGTGTTTCTGGAGCCTGAATTGCAAAAAACAGAGGAAAATTTGGCAGATGAGAGTGGACAGGATTCAGATTATGAACCAGCCCTTCAGGATATGTCGAGTCATTGGAGTCATTGGGTAAAATGGAGTCATTGGAGGATTTAGTGGCAGGATATGATCAGATTAGCTGATTGGAAAAGTCACTCCTATAACTGTGGACAGGGCAGATGGCACAGATGCAAGCCTGGAGGCATGAAGAGGGGTGAGGAGGCTGTTGTTTACAGGGCTTAAAGCAGAAAATGGCAGAGGAAATAGAAAGGACAATGTGAGTGTGAAAGAGACTTAGGAGATAGCACTGACATATTGGCAACTGGTTATGCGACAACTCTTACCTACAAAAATAATTGGTCTTAGCAAAAAAGTTTTACCTTCAGTCAAGGAACTTTTCTTTCTATCTATTGATGTGAACTTTGAAAAAACTTAAACATTCTATTGAGAATCTAGGATTTTCTCTGTGAAAAAAAGAAATTTCAACCAGAATTCCTGGCTTCTGCTGTTAATATGATACCTAGAACATGGTTGGTATTTCCAGGTGTAGATCACTGTGGCAGACAGATGCCAAGATACTCTCCTCCTGGTACTCATGCTCTTATGTAATTCTGTCCCCTTGAGTGTGGGTGGGGACTATGACTTGCTTTGAACTAATAGAAAAGATGATGGGATGTCAGTTCAGTGGTGCATTATGTAAGATTATAACTTACATCTTGCTAGCCAACCCTCTCCCATGCTGGCTTTGATGAAGCTGGGTGCTGTGTTAAGGAAGGCCATCTGGCAAAGAACCAAGGGAGGCCTCTGGCCAACAGTCAGCTAGGAACTGAGGCCCTCAGCCCAACAATCCAGCGGGACTTAATTCTACCACGAAGCACATAAGTGAGCTTGGAAGCAGGTCTTTCCATCATCACACTTTCAGATGAGACTTCAGCCCTGGTTGACACCTTAGTTGTAGTCTTTTTTTTTTTTTTAAGATTTTATTTATTTATTTTAGACAGAGGGAAAGGGAAAGAGAGAGAGAGGGAGAGAAACATCAATGTGTGGTTGCCTCTTGTGTGCCCCCTACTGGGGACCTGGCCCGGCATGTGCCCTGACTGGGAATCAAATTGGTGACCCTTTGATTCACAGGCCTGCGCTGAATCTACTGAGCCACACCAGCCAGGCTGTAGTCTTATGAGAAGCATTGAAGCAGAGAATGCAACTGGGCTGTGCCTGGATCTTGACTCACCACAGAAACGGTAAGATAACTGTGTTTGTTGTAAGCCACTGAGTTTGTGGTTTAAATTAATAACTAATAGTACCACCGTCAAAATGATGGCCAGTCTACCGTGCCTCCAAACAAAACCTGATTACATTTTGCACGGGTAATCAGTTTGCAGAATCAAGTACATTATCTACTTAGATACAGATTAGGGAAATATAATTGATCCCAAGTGAAAAATCACTTATCTTTCATTTTGAAAATTTCCTGTAATCACCACTTTTTATTTTTATTATCTTAATTTTAATTGA